TCTTGAATTGTGGTGATGCAAACTGGACCAAATATTCCAGGTGCAATATGGCATAGAGAAAATATAATTTGAGGAATAGATAAAATGTAGTTTCACAATTAAAATGAATTTTTTTATTCATGTGTCCTTTCATGATGGGGAAAGGATTGATTTGTCATCTAATGTAGTAAGGAACCTATATTACAAGTTTATCATCAGTTAATATTTGGATTGGATATGATCCTCTGCCTTATGAACCCTTGTTGTACTAAGATTTTTGAGGATGGATGTCTTTATCCTTAAGTTTGGTTAACCCAATCTTCTAGGTTCAGTCTTCTAGCAGCAATGAATGTTCCTGAAAATCTGGAGGAGTTCCCCAACTTTCTCAATATTTTGTTACACACTTGCCGGAGGGTGGAATACAAAATTGGATAAGGATGATAGGAAGGTTAATAAATTCTCTGCAAGTTAGCACCCTCAAGTGCCAGATCCTTCTTTCTCAAGAAACTGCATACTAGCACAATGGAAGTACCTTGAGATATGAACTTTCCAGCTCCTTTCAGTTAATTCTTAACAGAAACGTAATAAAGGGCATCCTAAATTATAATGAAAATTCACTGAGTAGTAAAACCAAAGCTAATTACAAAAATGCAGGGGTTATGGTGGGTGGTGAAACATTAGATTCCCATGACAGTGGCTAGGATATCAAAAAAAGAAAGAAAGAAAGGATACCAACTAAAGTTTTTTTTTAAGGTTTGGAAAGATCAGTGCCAAATGAGGGTCAGTTTAACCCAGTGGCTCTCTTCTAGAGTAAGAGCTTCCAGTCTGAACTTGAAAAATCTACAAGTTGTTTTGACTAACACAGTTCCAAGTCCATTTTGCTTGAAAACAAACCCTACTGAGTTTGTTGGGGCCATTTCCAAAGCAAAGGTTCCCACCTTATTATGACAAACTGAACAAATGGAATAAAGAGCCTTTGTTCGTTTGCCTCCACAGACTAGCACTGGCACTCTCTGCAAATGATGATAAAATTTGCTCCCATTGAAGTCAGCAGAAAATAGCGAGCTGGAAATAGAATAGTTCCTGTGTTGGACTAGGGATGGGCAGAATGCCCTAGTTCCACTCCCTGGCATTTAAAACTTTTTTCATTGGGGAGTGTTTTGTGGAATGCAGCAAAATAAGCAGCAGTCTGCTGCTCTGATCCTCAGCACAATTGGAAGCAACTTATCTTGCAATGTGTTCAGAATCTAAGTGTCAGCCATGGCCATCTGTAGCCATTGGTTACCATTTTGTCTTCTTGGAATCAGCCGCTTTCTCTGTAGTAAGCATGTCAAGTTTGCCATAAGTTTTAAATTGATGTCTTGAACTAAGGAAGGAGTAGCATAAAAGAGCAAGTTTTCTAGCCACATTTTGCTTTGTTTTACATTTCTACTCATGTCAAGACATTTTTCAGTAAAACACTTCGTAGGTTATTGCTTCAATCAGGGAAAAATTCACACATTTCATTTAATAATAGTGTGAGAACATGAGATGGGCAACTATATCACCTCCTATTTGGATTCTCCCTCATTGGGCAATTGGCTGACACATTAAGAGGCAGTGATCTGTGAGAACTGATCATGCAATAACTAGTGGTAACAGATTTACACGTTCACGTTATCAAGCAATAGTTGCAATTATCACATTGATAACATATTGTATACTTACTGAGTTTTATCAGTAAACAATGTGTTTGTATATTTTAGAATAATTAGTCTTGAAAACTAAGTTCTTTAAAATAAGCAGAGATTTGGAAATTAGCACTGAGGCTTTTCTTTAATTACTATTATTTCTATTCGAAATGAATCCTTCTATTTGACTCTTGGCGAAGCAACGCTAAACAAGCCCATAGTTTCAAAGAGTAGGCTGTTGTCTCACTTTATGATTGTAGGAATGCTTGCTTATCAAAACTAAACCAATTTTTTTGGGGGGGGGAATGGTTAAACAGCAGGCTGAATTTTTATAGGTAGTATTTTGGCATATATTTAATCAAAATGAAGCCCGAATTGTCTTGCTAGGGTTAGGTTAGTCTTCTAATGATATTAATAGCATAACAAGGTTTAGAAGCCCAGAATTCATTGAATGCAATGAAATCTTCCTGGTATCATTGAAGCATTGGTGTACAGAATTACTGAGAGCTACTACAGCCTCAATCAATTCATTTTAATGGAATTTTCTTATTTCTTATCAACTCTTATTTTCCTCCTGTAACTTGCATGCACTATGGGATCTGCTCTGGAGATCTTTCCTGAAAGCATATGAAGAAGGCAAGACTAAAAAGTGTCATTGCACTTATGCCTTAAGCCTCAATGAAAGGTTTACAATTTATTTTCCCCATTTAATTTTTTTAAATCCAAATCTTCATTATTATTGTCTTTAAAATGAAAAGTTAAGAATTCATTTTAAAACGTCGAGCTTATATACCCTGCTAGTAATGTTCATTTAATCATATCTTTAGGTCATAAATTGACTATACAGATTGCAGTTGTAAAAAAAAATCTTGGGAACATTTTGGGTCTTTAAAAGGAACATAAAGCTTCCCAATTAACCCTTGACAGGAGGTTCATTACAAGCTTCGTAATCCCTTGCCAAGTCTTTTGTGTAGCGAAACTAGCCTAGTACCAAGGATTTAGGAAGCTTAATCCAAACATGGAGAGGGGCTTTAAATAAAAAGCATTTATTCAGTTTTAAGACTTGCATTATCTTTAAAAGCAGGTACTTTCAGCTATAGCCTACACACAAATATACAAATGCTTGTGATATTGGTTGCCCATAGGAAAAAGGAATCCATCCATCCTATGGCTCATTTTCTAGTCTGAGTAAGAGCAGGTTGGGGCAGTCAGGAGATTTTCACACACACACACAGACACACACAGAGAGAGACATGTTGTGGCAGCAATGAACAGGGATACAAAAGCGTGTTTTTGGATACTCTCAGGCCGTTCCTCTTTGTTACACAAACACCAATAAATAATAGAAATGCCTAATATTTATTCCAGCAAAGGACTAATTTAGCTACTTTGTAGGCACAAGGTCTGTAGATAAACATTAAGGAAGAAAAAGGCACTTGTCTTTCAAAAGGAAATATAAGAACATAGATTTCTTATCTATTTCCAGGGGGGGGAAGAACAGTGATAAGAGCTTTTTAACAGGAAAACAGACCACTTTGGAAAATGATGGATTTTCCTTTACTGGCGGTGTTTAAACAGAGAGTAGATGGATACACAACTGTCAGGGAAGCTATAAAGGTGGACTGAGTAGAGAACTGGAGTAGATGAGTTCCAAAGTCCCTGCAAATGGCTGCATACTATTAAAGGCAAAAGATGTTCATCGTTCTTTTCAGTCTTGAATAAGATATTTGCAGGAAAGGCATTAAGAAATTACCTTCTTGACTATTAGTATCTCATTTTTTTACATATTAAAGCTGATGCAATATTGTGTCCTATGCTAATGGGTTGGGAGCCATCCAGAATGGGTTGGAAGCTGGGCAGGTATATAAATGTTTTAAATGAAATAAATAAATTAGATATTATAACAGTGGTGTCAAATATCGTTATCGAGAATTATAATCTTCTGGTTCTGGTGACTATTTATTCAACTATTAATTCAGATAAAGCATTTTGATTTAAGCTGGTCTTAAGCTTACATTGTTTGTAAATCAGAAGACATCTACCACTTGTTCAGATAAGCATTTAATGAGTTCCGTATTAGCAACAGTGATTGTTGATGTTAAAAGAAAGTACATCCTTTTTGTAATGATCAAGATAGGTTATTGTTTGTCTACTTTAACAAGATCTTTGATACTTCCCCAGGGAAAAACAATCATTTCTATTAAAGCTACTGTTCCTCGTATTTCTTATATGTCACCTCTCACCTTTAATTTACTAATTGACGAACACATGGGGTTTCCAAAGGTTTAGACTGGGATGGGAATTTTAAAAAAAACATATTGGAAGAAAACAATGGAAATCTACTTTAGTAAACCTGTCAAGAAAACTGCAGGAGTCAAGGATATTGTTCTCCTCATCTAAAATGTTGACTGGCATGTGTTCATTTCAGAAGCATACAAGCAGCCATTCTCCACCCCCCTGCACTTCCTAAAGTCTACTGCCAAGATTGATACTCTCAGAAAATGAACCTCAAAAGCTACAATATTCAGTCATTTTAATTTTGCACCTCCTGCCATGAATGATCACTATTATTTCCTGATCTATATGAAGGGACGCGGTGGCTCAGTGGCTAAGATGCTGAGCTTGTCGATTGAAAGGTCGGCAGTTCAGCAGTTCAAATCCCTAGTGCCACGTAACGGGGTGAGCTCCTGTTACTTGTCCCAGCTTCTGCCAACCTAGCAGTTCGAAAGCACGTAAAAAATGCAAGTAGAAAAATAGGGACCAACTTTGGTGGGAAGATAACAGAGTTCTATGCATCTTTGGCATTTAGTCATGCTGGCCACATGACCACGGAGACGTCTTCAGACAGCGTTGGCTCTTCAGCTTTGAAATGGAGATGAGCACCGCCCCCTAGAATCAGGAACAACTAGCACATAAGTGCGAGGAAAACCTTTACCCCACTACCCCCTTTATGGGGGTAGTTTAAGCATGTCCTGGTGAAAAATGGTATTTATGATAAAAAAAATCTCCAAACTAGTTTTATAAAACATGATATATGAAAAGGAAGGTGTATGGTTTCTATAGAAAGACAGAGACCTAGCTCATTAACGTCAATCTAAAAGTGGGTGTTGTAATCCACACAGAATCAAAATAAGGGAGTAGATTCTCTGTTCAGAGGTTTATACATGCAACAAAGTCTGGAGGACTCCATCAGCAATTTCAAGTGTTTGTAATTGAAATGATGCTATTTATTCACACAATTTTTTTAAAAAAATTAAAAGTGTAAAGAAATGCACGCTTTGGATTACAGTGGTGATGATTCATAAAAGTCACGAGACAGCTTTCAAGTTATTCATAGTGTTTTTTCTTCAGGCCTGATGGAATAGGAACGGTAACAGTAGAAGAAAAAGAGCAGTTTGAAGAAATCAAAGAGCGGCTGCGATTGTTATTGGAAAATCAGATCACACATTTTAGGTAATAATGGCTATTTCAATTTTCAAATCGGGAGTTATGTCCTCAAGTTTCCACTGTTGGAGTTATCATGGCTTGCTTAAGTAGTAGCAATTCATTAAGAGTTGTAGACAGAATGCTTAGGAGAAGAACTTGCAATTTTAAACTTTAAATTTACCATTACTCTAGGGTGATCCAATTCCACTTAAATTTATCAATGGTTGAAATCGATTGTTATGTGAGTAACATTCCATTTAGGAATGGAAGACTTCCTAAAGAAAACATTTCTTAAAACTGTCTCTTCCTCTTTAAAGTCTCCTAATCTAAAATTCTTCCTGGGAGGGTTTTGTGATCTTTTTGGATGTATCTTGAGATGAGGGAATATAAAAGGGAGGAGACATCTTGCTTTTTGTATCAGTGGATAAAAGCCGCCCATCCGTCCCCAAGAAGAAATACCCCAAATGTTTTACTAGAACTTCAATCTTCCCATCGGAGCCATCATCTTGATTTTCATGATCATACCCTTATACAAACACAGGTAGTCCTTGACATACAACCATTCATATAGTGACTGTTCAAAGTTACAATGATACTGAAGAAAGTAACTTATGTCCGGTCCTCACATTTGTGACCATCACAACATCCCCACAGTCACATGTCCAAAATTTGGGCAGTTGGCAACCAGCATGTATTTATAATGGTTGCAGCATCCTGAGGCCATATGATCACCTATTTCACTGGCTTCTGGCAAACAAAGTCAATGGGGAAGCTGGATTCACTGAATGACCACATGACTCACTTAACAAACTTCAGTGATTCACTTAACAACTGAGGCAAAAAAAATGTGGTAAAATCAGGCACAACTCAATTAGCAACCACTTTGCTTAGCAACGTGCTGGTTGCTGGCATTCTGGTCCCAAATGTAGTCATAGGTTGAGGATTACCTATATTTATTAATTAAAAGTGATGATATGGTGATGGGCAGGTTTTGATGTTTAAAACCAAAACAGCTGTTTTCTTTATCTAGGGACAATGACTGGGATGTAATATGGCCATATTATAATGTTGTCTGAATTTTTTTTCTTCCTTTTGCCTATCTAGCAATTGTCTACTCTTTTTCCTCATGTCCTTTCCTCTTTTTGATTCAAGCATGGAGAAGCCCATTTTCTCTTAAACAATCATGTAGTTACAGGATTAATAGGTATCCTTGCTTCTAATTCATTTTAAATGTACCAATGAGCCATGATACAAAATCCAGAATCATCAAATTATTAATTTGAAGAAATCAAAAGAGATCCGTAGAGAGTAGGAAAACCAGTACAATTGTTTTGGTTGGTATACCAGTAAACATCACTTCCAATTTGAAATCCTCAGTTGTCTCAGTTGCTTTCCTGATAGAACTCCAAGTATCATATCAAGAGAATGTTTGTGAGCACAAAACATATACCCATCTCCCAGCTAATTTGAGAATTAATCAACATTGTTCATATTTATTGGAATGATAACTCCACAGACTCAACAAATAAAACTGTAATGGTATAAATTATATGTGAAGTAATGCTGGATCTAGCCATAACTCATTTCCTGTGTCTAACCAAGATTTCAATTTATCTGAGCCTTGCACATCTTCTTCATTCATTAAAAATTCTAGATTTTTCTTAAAAGGCATTAACTTAAATGTTCAGCTCGAACACTGTAGTTTCATTTAAGCCAGTGTTTGTTGACGCAGGAATTCAGATGAAACTAGGCAGGGAAAGTTACTCTTTTTGTTAAATTGATGTAACTATATCAAGTAATATATGGGAAAAATATTTAAAACTATGTATTATTTCTAGGTATTGTTTTCCATTTGGCCGACCAGAAGGAGCTTTAAAAGCCACTTTATCACTCCTGGAACGGGTAAGCATAAGATCAATATCTAAGGGACTGCCACAATGGAGAGGGGGTCAATCTATTCTCAAAGCACCTGAGAGCAGGACAAGAAGCAATGGATGGAAACTAATCAAGGAGAGAGGCAACTTAGAACTAAGGAGAAATTTCCTGACAGTTAGAACAATTAATCAGTGGAACAACTTGCCTCCAGAAGTTGTCAATGCTCCAACACTGGAAGTTTTTAAGAAGAGGTTGGACAACCTTTTGTCTGAAATGGTCTAGGGTCTCCTTCTTGAGCAGGAGGTTGGACTAAAAGACCTCCAAGGTCCTTCCAAGTTCATTATTTTGTTAAGGTTGTCGAAAAGCTAAGGCAATGAGCTAGTTTCCATATGTGGCCATCTTCATCTAGTAGAATTTAAATTTGTTTGGATTATATTGGTTTGAAGAGAGGAAGTTAATTTGCCTTTCCATCTTCTTGGAAATGATGACTGGGAGAAGTATTAATTTTATTAATCCGACTTTCATCCTAAGCATTGTATACACTAGTTTACATGGTTGGACTTACTCAAGTTATCCTTCCAGGAGTTATGGTCCTCCCAGTAGCTCCACTGTATCTGAAGTAATCGACCTATCCATTCAGTGAAGCTTCATATATAGAGATTGAGCTATGTTTTGATTATGGTAGTGCATAGAACACTGAGCTACTTTTCTCCTAAATGAAAAGTCATTATTTCATTGTGGAGAGTGAAGGCTGCTCTTTGCTCAGCAATACACCAAGGAGAGAACGAATCTTTCCATCTGCAGCCCCTGCAGAAATCTATTCTAGAGGTTGAAGAGATTCTCTGAAGCCGATCTGAGGAGACTGATGGCTGCACAAAAAGTCTTTGGCTTGCACAGCCATGGATTTGATTCAAATCATCAGCATATGGAAATTATATTTGGAGGCTTGATGTTCTAAATTATGGTTGCATATAATTAAAACATTCTATAAATCATACAAAACCAATCTGTACTCCTATCGCATAATCCATGGTATTTTATCTCATGGAGCTGTGACTTTTTTTTTTTTTTATTGGTGTATACATTAATGCCATATGCAGGGCTGATTTCACAGCCATAAAATTCTTTGAAACTGTAAATACCAGAGACATTAGGTTTCAAAATCATGCAGTCCTATAGGATCTTAAGAACTGTATTATTTATTATGGCTGGAGCTTCATCAAATGGTAAAATCAGACGATATTGCTCTATTATGCTGCAGTATAAGAACGTAATTCATTTCCAAATATGGTCAAAAATCGATCTTGGTAAAGGTGAAAGGAAATCGTGATTTTGAGATGTCACTTAGACATTTTATAAAATGTGCACCCTATATAGATTTGTTACACATCCTTCGTCATTTCGTGCAGTGTTTCAAAATATAAATTGCAAAACCAGACTGAGGGCCTCAGAGACCAAGTCCAAATACTTCAGAGACCAATGGATAAGGCTACTGCTGACTTCTTTTCTGGCCAGAAGAGGGAGACAAAGGGCATTGGGAGGGTAGATGATTTTACAAATAATAATAATTAAGAAGACATAATAAATCAATGCTTCCTTATATCAAGGTTTTGATGAAAGACATAGTTACTCCTGTCCCTCAAGAGGAGGTAAAAGCTGTCATCCGTAAATGCTTAGAACAAGCTGCATTGACTAACTATACCCGGCTATCAGAATATGCAAAAATCGAAGGTAAGGTAAATTTAATTCTTAACTTCAATGTTAGCTCCTCTTTCAAGAAAAGGAGATTTTTAAAAGCTGCTTTAAACATAAAGATCATCTGTGTATATCATTACCAGATAAACAGACGTAAATAGTTTTTTAAAACACAAAGCGAAATGGAGAATAGAATAATCCTGCATAGAACAATCATCAAAATCCGGCATATATTCCCCTCCTACCCCACACACCAAAAGAAGTGAGTGAAATCAACATATCACTGCTGGTAACAGTGGGTTCATTGGACAATTGAATGAGCAGAAACTTAGAAATGTTTGCATGGCACTCGTTTCTTTAGAAGCTAATTAAAAATGTCTATTTTTTTCCCTGGATAATGTTTGCCACCTTCCCTTTTTGTATAGCAGCTCCTGTCAAGTCAGTTGGCCTTGTGCTGGCTTCAGATCTCATTCTTGTCACTCTAAATTTGCCGCAGATGATATTGCTGACCTTTTACATTAGGAAAGAATAACAATTAGTGACCAAAGACACATGTAGCCATCAAAAAGACATTTTAAAACTTGCTTGAAGATACGCTTTTGGCAGGAATCTAATTATACATGCGAATGGATCTTTAATGCATTCATCAATTTTCATTGTTACTCGGTTGTTGCTGAATAGTAATGTAAAACTCCGGTTAAATATCTTGCTGTGAAATGTGAAACGTGGAATCATGCAATATGGATGGTGGTTTCTTGTTCTGTATGAGCCGTGAAGCTTTACTGTGTTCACTTCGAGGAATAACACTGGCAGAATGAATATCACTATTCAATTTCTTTCTTCTAGTCCTTGCTTGTCAGAAGGTCTGTTGTGATAAGTCACATATTTCCAGGGTCTGTACACTGATATACTTCCTCTCTCTTTCAATGTTTTTTCCCCCCATTGACAATGCAAATTGTGTACCAGTGGTAATGAATTCATTGTTATGCATCCAGTGAGAAACACTTAAGAATTGGGCACTAAAAGGATGTTTATCAACTCTTGACTCGGTAATGAGCAGTGAAAATAGAGAAGGAAAGCAAGTCTCTTGAGTGCTGAGCTATCAAGCAATTTATCCAAGCCTTCTACTTCACGGGTTTTAATTGGTGAACTCTGTTACAAATTTCAATGTTTAAATCTGCTTCGTGAAGACATGGGAGAACTCCAGTAGAAAAGCACCTTTGGGCTTGTTGTTTTCCTTTTGAATAGACCCTGGGCTCCCTAGGTCTCTGTATAACCCTCACTAACTTTGTCGGTAAGCTGTGCTCTCTTCTTTCAGATATATCTATGCAAAAACAAACTTTATGATCTGTAAGTAAAAATGCATTCATTTCCCAAAAACCTAGAACAGTTAGCGTGTACTTTCCTTTTGTGCCTCAATTCTTCTTGATTGTGTTAATTCTCTGCCCTCTTTTTTTGGCACTGTGACTTTAGGTCTGGGAAACTTTGAAGCAACAAACTCTTTTTTTTTTTTTTAGTTTTTCTCTCTTTCTCTCTCCTTTTTTTTTTTTTGTAAAAAAAAAAATCCAGCTGTTGTTTTAGAGAAGTACTTTCATCCCACACTACCTGCTCTCTTCTGCTTCTCCTTTTCCTTGTTTGTGGTTGGTTCAGCCACTTTTCTATGTTGCCTCTAGAAAAAGTGGTTGCGTCAGTTTCAAAGCATGCTGGGATTGTTAATTCAAACAACCCAACATCAGCAAGTTGCATGCCTCAGGTTTTCTCTCATGAGCATAGTCCACTCACTAGGAGTTGCTTTTTTAAATTGTTTTTAACTTTACATATATATACATTTATATGCATATTGTGCAACCTGTTTCCTGAAAGGAATCTACTCATTTGGAAATGAAATGCTTTATTCTGTCTCAATATCTAGAGTACATTAAAATTAAGATAAGTAACAATGATCAGCAATGCTGTTTGAGGCTATGTTTATGAAGAAATACCTGTGAAAACCTCAGATACTAAAGGCTAAACTCCTTAGTATCTCGGAGCCTTAAATCAACAGAATTCTATTTCCTCCTGTTTGTGATGTTCTGATCATTATATTCCTACCAAGAATTCAGAACAAACCTTTAGAATCATGGGCACAATCTCTTTTGTGACTCATGAGCATGCTGAATGGTTAATCCAGTAAACACCCAATTTTAAATCTCCTTTTTTTTTATTTTAATTTTATTTCCTGTATGTATCCCCAAATACTCTACAGCTACTTTCCTTTAAAGCTAATGTAAAGTTTTCCTCTGACCTATGACCTATAACCTCTTTACCTCTGACCTAAGCCTCTTGCATGCCCAAATCCTCTTTTATAGGGAAAAAGAGAGAAATGTATGAGCATCCTGTCTTCTGCTTGGCCTCTCAAGTGATGGATTTAACCATTCGTGAGTACCTTCCTTCCACCTCTCCATGCTGCCTTCGCTCTTTTCCGTTTTCATTTCCTCCGTCCAATCCAGAGCCAAACCAACTCATTTTCCTCGCTTTGAGTCTTTTAGCATTGGCTTGTCTGTTGCTTCTGTCTGTGAAAGTCCCAGTTGTGAGAGGTCGAGTCACTTTTTATCAGCCTAAAAACCAGGTTAGAAAAAAATTCAGCCGGTTTTTTTGTTTGTTTGTTTTGTTCGTGACAAACTCCAATTTGTAAGTTTTTTCCGTTCTTTCTGTCTGTGACCTGAATGCATTTTTACTTTGCTTATGTGTAACCCCAATTTGTAAACACTTGTCACTGGTACACAATCAAAAGGGAGTTACTGCACCGGGGAGCACGGAATTACAGTTCAGCTACAAAACATTTCCCGAATGTTTTTGGTTTCTGAAGTTTGTAACAACCTCTGCATAAAACCACTGAAAAACGTCCTCGTTGGACATTAGCTCTTTCACGTCTCTTGTCTGTTATTTCTCAAATAGAGTGCTATTTTAGTTTCTTTCAATAGCAACCTTTGAATAGAGCATATTTTATGTATATTCATTTGCTGATCTAATTCGCAATATGTGTTTGCAGAGGGAAGCCACTTCAACACTCATTTATTTTTCTTTGCACAATGATTAAATTCTTTCTTGGCAAGACACATGGTATTATGATCTCCATGCTTTTGGGTGGGTGGGAGAGATTGGGCAACTTCTTTTCTTTATGAATGTCATATATCACACATAACTGGGGGCATTTTGATCCACTTGCTCATTAATTCTGCATATCTGTTCTTGTTTCTCTCTTTTCTCCTTGTTGCTTTCTCTCTCTTTCATATAGAGAATCAAAAGGATGCAGGTGAACATCTGTATATGCATTATAAATTGCTAGGATTGTTGAGTTTTATATATATTTATAAATATATATATATATATATATATTTCTTTGTTTTCTTTTCAAGGCTCCTTAAGATATGTGCTCCGTATAGAGAAACATTGGAGTTGCAGTAATCCTTAAGGAGTTAATTTGTGCTGTCTTACTTCATGTAACTAGTATTGTTCTTTCCCCTTATGTAAATTTAAACAGAAATAACAATGCAATTTTCTTAGCAGTGAGGTACAGTCTAACAAAGAAGCTATTCATACACACACACACACACACACACACACACACACACACAGACAAACTCTAACATACAAAGTCGCTTACATTTTGGTGCCCCAAAGTATTAACTATCTGGCTTTTTGTTCAAACCACTGTTTGATATATAAACTAATTCTCATTTTTGTTTTTCACATCTTCTGTTTTGGCCCCATTTGGGTAGAATGGTTTTCTTGTTAATGTGTAACTAACAGAGAGAAGTCATGTTTGTCGTAATTTTTTTTGTTTGTAATGTGGCGGTGTAATAAAGCAAGGAAACAGTTGAGATAAAAAACATCTTTAATGCTCCCTCAAATCTCTTAGACCTCTGTCATGACTTCTGCATATAAGTACCATTTTTCTGAAATGTCTTAAAATCTTAACTGTTACTTTTAGCGCCTCCTCTTAGCCATTTCTTTATGTTTTCTTGATTTTGAACTGTTTTGGCAGGAATCACTTTTTGAAAGAAAAATTAAACAGAATTTTGTGACCAATTTTTCTTCAGGTCACATTTGAGAGAAATAGCTGCAACTTGTTTAGTATGAATTTTATTTTTAATTTCACAGGCATTCCCTGACACCACAACAAACGGCATTGTACAAGGAGTACAGGGTCACTGAAATGAAGAGTAATATACCCCATTCAATTGAGCAATGCCTTGTCCCTCTCAAAAGGCCATAACAATAAAAGCGCTCTGACTTGCCATTCTCATCAGCAATCACATTTTAAACAAGTGTCCACAGCTATGTGCAATTTATACTGATAATATGTGTCAAGGAAAGAAAGTGCTAGGTGTTCCGCCGTCATCAATGTCCAGATGGAGACACTGCACATGATTAGTGGTGACCCCAACAGGATCAGACAACCTAACTTGTAAAAATACCTCCATCTGATTAAATGTTGGTGGACTGGCACTGGATATGGATGAACCTTGGCAAAAATAGTCAATTATGAGGAAATAGCAGGCAAATCTCATGAAAAGACTAAAATAATGGCACTGTTGCTGTGAATCGTAAACATATCAAGAAACCTGAATATCCAGGTCACTAGAGTATTTTTATTTCTGGGAAAAAAATCACCGGATATGTCCATAATGGTTAATATCAACAATGCCTGTGAGAATCATTCATCTCTAGCATTTGAATGTCAGTAGTAATACCCTGTTTCTCCGAAAATAAGGCATCCCCTCATAATAAGCCCAATCGGGCTTTTGAGCGCATGGCAATAAAGCCAAGTGCTTATTTCAGGTTTCAAAAAAATATAAGATAGTGTCTTATTTTTGGGGAAACACGGTATGTGGAAGCTGCATTACTCATCTTGAGACATTAATATAATATTATTTATTTGTCCGCATTATATTTAGCTTTCAAAAGGTATCCACAGGTTATGGTTAAAAAAGTCACAACCGATGTAAACAAAAGATGGCGGCATCTTGATTTTTTTGACCTGGCCTTGTGGTCACACCTGTTAGAGTACTTTCTAGTCCAGAAGCCTGTGTCCTGAAAGCTTTTGGGCTCTAACATCAGGAAAGTTTGTGTGAATTTATAAAACTATATTCCGCATGCATTTATTTCCAATTTCTAATTTGTGGACATCATACAAACATATGGTGAAGATTTCCATATGTTAGAACATTGTTCTAAGTTTAGAAAAAGTTATTTATTTGGAGGTTTTGTTTCCATTTCAACCACTTTTACGGCAGCTCTCATAAAATAATTCACGGCATTAAACTTAGTGACTAAAATTCTAGAGCAATTTGAATTTTGGTTGTGTTGATTTGCAAAGAAATCCAAGGTACCCTCCTGAAGTTTAGCAGATTTTGAGAGTGTACTCTGGATTGATCAGAATTTGATATGAGTGATTTTATAGTGGTTTATACTAATTAGAATTTGTAGAGTACTTTATGTTTGTATATGTTAGTGTATATCGACTTCAGGTGCTCGGCAACTGCCATCTGTTTGCAGTGTCCTGCAGTCATATTTTATGATGTTTTTGCTGAAAAACTGCAGTTATTTCCAGTTTTAGGAAAAACTAGCCCAAGTGGGCCATTGATTTGCTTAATGACTGTTGGTTTATTGTGTGTTCACTTAGCAACCATGGCATTTGCTTAACTACCACCAGCAAATGTCTACGGAGATTTTCAGTCATCCAGGTTGTAGTTGTCCCAAAAGTACATTTTAAAGAGGCAACTGGACTTTCTTATTTTTTCTTTGAAGTCATTTCACTTCTCATCCAAGAAGCTTCTTCAGCTCTGACTGGATGGTGGGGAAATAGAAAGATTTATATTCCTTGCAGACAGCTTGTCATTTGCCTTCTTTTAGAGAGTTGTTGAGGCCACTTGGGGGTTTATCTGTGACCTCATGGTCACCTGAATAGTGCAAGTGGGTGTGGAGCCTTCTTGGAACTGCTGAAAGGACTGTGTTGTAGATTGGAGATAGATGATGTTGTATCCCTCCCCCTTTGTTGATAGAGGGTTGTACAATTTTTATATGGGCTCCACACCCATTTGCACTACTAAGGTGACCCTGAGGACACAGATAAACCTCCAAGTAGCCTCAACGACTCTCTAAAAGAAGGCAAATGACCAGCTGTCTGCAAGGAATATAAATTCTTCTATTTCCCCACCATCCAGTCAGAGCTGAAGAAGCTTCTTGGATGAGAAGCGAAATGTCTTCAAAGAAAAACAAGAAAGTCCAGTTGCCTCTTGAAAAAGCACCTTTGGGACTATCATCAGCAAAAAAAAAAAAGTCATTAAAAATGTCCAGTTATCTGATGACTTATGACCATCACCACTTACGACCATGATGGACAGGCCAAAGGCTACCTGTAAAAAGGATGCAACAGAAATCTAAAATGTAGTAAACCTCCACTAACTTGTCCCAGGGCCGTTTTTAAAGGGAAAGATAACTAGTGTCATTTCTAGCATTCTGCTCTACTGTCAGAAGAAAGGTACCACTGTTATAAAAACGACCAGCGTTCCTCCAGGAATAAAGGGCATAATAATTGTAGGCATAATCATATCAAGGACATTTTTAACTAAGTTTTCTAACTTGGGATGTGGACAACTATATGAATTGAGGAAAAAGAGTCCATTCTGGTAGCACAAATGCCATAGCTGCACTAATTTATAATATAAAAGATAAGAAGACGCCAAGGTATAAGCATAGGCGTGTCAAGGACAGTCCCAAATTTCAGTGATGCTATGACATACTGAGAGTACAAAACTCCTGCATTGTCAAAGTGGGTTTCTCCTTCCTTAGCTCCGACAGAAGTCCTCACCCAAAACACAAAACTGAACAGAAAGAAGAGTAGAGAAAACGCCTGGCATGTTAAACTCTGCCCAGTCACCCGGAGGAGAAAATCTTTACTAAAGGACAGTAATGAAGAATGTTTAGAAAGTGAAATCGATGTCCCAGAGGTGTTGTCATTTCCTAATTGTCCTCAAGTGTGCCCTGAATAGTCAGGATGCTAGCAGCTCATCCGTGATTCTTTAGGGTAAAATGCATGGATGGCTGGATAATTCTCAGAATTGGATGGCTCGGTGACAGGACTGGAAGCCAGGACAGCTCCATTCATTTCAACACCTCCTCGTACCTTACAGGGCTGCAGATATGAATCCTCCCTCTGGATAGAGATTTCTGCACAGCAGCCCTGACTTCTGCGATCACAGGGGACATGTTTGAAAAGCCCCAGTAGACATCACAGCAATTCAGTTGACAGTTCCTCTATGGAGTTGCCTATTCGCATCTACCTCTGCAGAAGCAGTACCCATTTCTCTCGTACGCCAGCCAACCAGCCAACCAGCCAGCCCTGTGCTTTCTGAAGCTATTGACACTGAGGCCAACAGCTAGTGTAAATCAGCCCTAGGAAGCTAAATCTGTTTAGAACACATACACGCGTAAATAAAAAAGGCAAAGTTCTCTGCTTTTACTTTTTTTTTTTTTCCCCTCTCTTCTCAAAGCGAGTAAATTTATCCTGGAAGCAATAAGGATGGGCGTCAATTTGGACTTTCAACGATGTAGCGATTTGATGTTCTTCCTGCTCCCCATTGCCTTTGTAACATAGCATGCAGCAATTACGTCTCCTGCCAGTGTTTGGCAGGAGACATCACTATGCACTTGCTGGCATCAGCAGGGAATCAGCAGGGGTATTTTAATGATTGCGGTGGTGCTCGGTGCAGACTGCAGGAAAGATGCACAGATCCTCCCAATTGCCTTTCAAAATACTTTTGTTGTTGTTGTTGTTGCTGTTTCTACAAATTCGTTTAGGGAAGGAGAAAAAAAAAACAGCCAAAAATGGATGGAAATGGTGGACAATTTGTTGTCAACAGCTCGATCCAATGTAGAGGTCACGTGCTTTGTATTTTAGGGGCAACTTGATAAGGCTAGCCACTATGGCCATTTTGCTTTGAGCTATTCTGTTTCTCAATACCCCCACCTCCTTCCTTCCTTCCTTCTCTTCTCTGGTTTTTCTGATGCACACCCAGATATACACTGTGGAAGTTGCCCAAAGACATCGCAACGGAAGTTGCAGTTGAATCAGGCCCCCTGGATAGTTGCAGGATTGGAAATGTCAAACAGCTTTGAAATTTATTTTTCATCCAGGTCACCATAGATGCCTGGCAGAAATGCACAGCTGCTGGTAAATTCAAATGCTAAAACATATTTAAAGATGGTGGCAGAGTTGGATTGTGGTTGCACTCTTGGGGGTGCAATTGT